ATGGATGGGAGCCACTGGTTCACCATGCAGATGGTTTTGGAGAAACTCATTCACAAAGGACATGAGGTAGTGGCAGTTGTGCCAGAGGTGAGTTGGCAACTGGGAAAATCCCTGAATTTGACAGTGAAGACTTATTCAATTTCTCATACACTAGAGGATTTAAACCGCGAGTTCAAGTATTTTTCTGACACTCAATGGAAAACTCCAGAACAGAATATGTTTTCTTTAATGACAGGCTCAGCCAAAGGTTTCTTTGAAATAATATTTTCACACTGTAGGGATTTGTTTAATGACAAGAAGTTAGTGGAGTACTTGAAGCAGAGTTCTTTTGATGCTGTGTTTCTGGATCCTTTCGATGTGTGCGGCTTAACTGTTGCCAAGTACTTGTCACTCCCATCCGTGATCTTTGCAAGAGGTGTGTTTTGTCACTATCTTGAGGAGGGTACACAGTGTCCCAGCCCCCTCTCTTATGTTCCCAGAATTCTCTTGAAACTCACAGACACCATGACTTTCACGGAGAGAGTCTGGAACCACCTCACCTACATGACGGAACGTGCATTTTGCCCCTATTTTTTCAAAACGGCTGTAGAAATTGCCTCTGAAGTTCTCCAGACCCCAGTGACTATGGATGACCTTTTCAGTCAAGTGTCCATTTGGTTGTTACGAACAGACTTTGTGCTGGAGTTCCCCAAACCTGTGATGCCCAACATGGTCTTCATTGGTGGGATGAACTGCCAACAGAGAAAGCCAATTGCCAAGGTAAGTTATTTCACCTTTAGTCCATGAAGAAAGCCCTGGGTTTGGACAATAAAAAAGAAATTCTTTACTGAGGTTTGATTTATTGTTTATATCGCTGCATATGGAATTTCTTTCTGGGTTATAGAATTGTTTTGTGCCAATTTACTAATTAGGAAACAATTCTATACAGGTGCCCTATTGACATGGCTGTGTATACCTGTGGCATTATTGCATATACATTCAAAGCTACAATGTAAATTTAAATGTATGTGGGGGGGCATGATATAAATATCATAAAATTAGAAAGGGGAAGGTGCAAGAAAACTTTCTATGGAGAAACAAGGTCAGTAATGATAGACATGATAGACATGTCACACGAAAACAGAAAAGTGGAATATTCAGGGGTAGGGAGGAGGGAGGGGGAGAGAGGGAAGAAAGAGAGAAAGAGGAAGAGAGAGAGAGAGAGAGAGAGAGAGAGAGAGAGAGAGAGAGAGAGAGGAATAAACAGAAAAGGCAAAATGCATGAAAAATGTCATAATGCCACTGAATACTCTGTACACTAACATAAAAGTAATTTAAAGAGACAAAATAACCCTTCAAGCTATATTTCACTGTTTTTAAAAGATGTTTAAAAGGAGGTGGTGGCTCACACCTTTAATCCCATCTCTCAGGAAGCAGAGACAGGTGGATCTCTGTGATTTCCAGCCCAGCCTACACAGAGAAATCCAGTCTCAAAAATCCAAATAAGTAAATAAACAGACACATCAAGCCATGAAACAGCCCTAATTATTTGTTGGCTGCACTCTATGGGAGTATACATGCAGTTTTTACAAATTTCAAAAATTATTGATGTAATATGTAAGATGCAAGGTAGGAGCATTTGTTAATTTTTAGAGGAAATAAAATGTAACAAGATAAAACAAAAACCATCCTATCAAAATTGGACAAAAGAGCCCACAGAAAATAAGCCCCAAGAGAAGGCACAAGAATCAGAGAGTCACTGGTTAACACATTCAGGAGTTCCATAAGAGTACTGCATTGACAGCTATGGTCTATACTCAGAGGACCTGAGCAGATCCATGTAGGCCCTGTGAATGCTGCCGCAGTCTCCACAGTTCATAAGAGCTTTGCTGGCTTGCTTTTGATGGCCTTGTTCTCTGGGTGTCCGCCATCACTCTTTCTCCCCAAATCCTTCTGCCTCTTTGGGTTCCGGAGTTCTGAGAGGAGGGATTGGATGGAGAAATCTCATATAGAACTGTGTGTTCTGAGGTCTCTCTATGTAATGTCTTGCTGTGGGTCTCTGTGTTTGTTCCCATCTGACGCATGAGGGAGCATCTCTGATGCTGTCTGACTAAGGCTCTAATCCATGAGTTAGCAGAATATTATCATGACTCAGTTCATTGTTGTTTTTTTTTTTTTTTAAGAACAGGAGTATTTGGTTCTGCCCTGCTTGTCTGAAATTCTAAACTGTGATTCTGGGTCACCTAGGCAGTGTTGGGCATGGGTTCCATCGCATGGAGTGAGCCTCAATTCAAATCAGACATCAGTTGGTTACTCCCACAAGGTTTGTTTCTCCATTGTCCTAGTGTATTTTGTAGGTAAGATAGATTATAGGTCAAAGGTTTTGTGATTGAGTTGGTGTTTCTTTGCTCTTTTGGTAGTCCACAAAGTATGTTTCCATGTCATAGACTAGACATGGAGGTGAAGGTTCAATGTAGGCACCATCTGACTGCTCCATTTTCAACAGTCATGTGAGTGTTGTCTTCAAAAATGGGGTTTTGATGTCAGTTTGTGGAGAGCAAGCTATTGTCTTGGCAAGGGCCTGGGATGTTTGGAAATTTCCATGGGAACCCTTTGACCAACAACCAAATTGGATGAAAATTACTCCTCAAAAGGAAGCTTAGTTTGCTTACAAGACATGGCCAGTAGGGGTTGCCCGTCCTCATTATTTGGAGGCTTCATTAGGACTGCCTTCATATGTTATAGGAAGTTTCCACTGCACTGCACTGCACTAGCTTTCCATATTGCCCCTCAAATATCCTTCAGTTCTAGCTGTCTCTCCTCTCATTGCCTCCCCGAATCAACTTGTCCTTTTCCTTCTCATGCGATACTTCTGCTCTTGTCAACCTCCCCAGCTCCAGCCCACTCATAAAATGTATATTATTTCCCCCACCCAGTGAGAGCCATGTGCCCCCTCCCCACTGCCTTCCTCTATGCCCCAGCTCTCTGTGTCTATGAATTTCAGCTTGGTTATCACTTCTATAATGACCAATATCCAAATATGTCATACATATCTTATTTATCTTCTGATTGGGGTTACCTCACACAGGATGATTTTTCCTAGTTCCATATATTGGCCTACAAATGTCATGATGTCATATTTCGAATGAGATGAGAATTGCTCCATTACATAAATGTACCACATTTTCTTTATCCTGTCTTCTGTTTGGGGACGTCTAGGTTATATTTTTTCTAATTTCTGGTAGGATGAGGGGTCCATTTGATATATGCCCAAGAGTGGTAGAGCTTATCTAGAAGTAGATCTATTGCCATGTTTCTTATGAGCCACCACACTGATGCGTCTAGGTTATATTTTTTCTAATTTCTGGTAGGATGAGGGGTCCATTTGGTATATGCCCAAGAGTGGTAGAGCTTATCTAGATCTATTGCCATGTTTCTTATGAGCCACCACACTGATTTCCATAGTAGCTATACAGGATGGCACTCCCATCAACAGTGGACGAGTGTTCCCCTTACTCCGGATCCTCTCCAGCAAGAGCTGCCACTTGTGTTACTGACTTTAGCCACTCTCACAGGTGTAAGATGGAGTCTCAAAACAGATTTGATGTGCATTTGCCGGATGTCTAAGGATGTTGAACATTTCTTTAAGTTTTTCACAGTCATGTGAGATCCCTCTATTGATAATCCTTTGTTTAGATATGTACCCCACTTCTTACTCAGGTTATTTTCTGATACCTGTTTCTTGAGTTCTTCATATATTTTGGATATTACTCCTGGGTAGGATGGGGACTTGTTAAAAATCTTTTTCAGTTCTGTAGGTTGCCACTTTGTCTGAATGCTGATACAGTAGCTTTTCAGTTTCCCATTAATAATTGTTGATCTTAGTGCCGGCACTATTAGTGTTCTGTTCAGGAAGTCTGCCCCTGAGCCAATGTGATCAAGGCTATTCCCCACCTTCTCTTCTGTCAGGTTTAGTGTATCTGGTTTTATGCAGATGTCTTTGATTCCTTTGGAGTTGAGCTTTGTGCAGGGTTATAGGTAGGAATCTATTTGCATTCTTCTATACGCAGTCATCCAGTTTGACTAGCACCGTTTGTTGAAGATGCTTTTTTGGCTCCTTTTATAAATTCCTAGTGCCCATAGGTGTGTGGGTTTATGTCCAGGTCTTCAATTTGATTTCATTGATCAATGTGTCTCTTTTAATATGAATTCCATGCTGTTTTTATTACTACAGATTTGAAGTATAACTTGAGTTGATGAATGATGAGATCTCCTGTAGTTCTATTATTGTTCAGGATTGTTTTAGCTATACTTTTTGTCTCCATATGCAGCTGCAAATTGTTCTTTCAAGCACATTGTCTCCCCCCCTCTCACACACACACACACACACACACACACACACACACACACACACACACACACACACACACACGATATCACTACCACCCTCAGTTTCATACACCACACACTAATTCACACACACTGTACTCAGCCATACAAAAATATAGGTGGGCAATCAGGACTGTTGATAAAGAGATTTTATACAGCACAACCACAAATCTAAAACAAAAAACAACCCTATGTCCGTGTGTCTACCTATTATTTTGTATGGCAGCCATGTTTCTCCTACAGTTTGTGCTGCAAGGGTACAGAAGTTATGGGTGGAGCTAAACCAGTGTGTGAGAAGGAAACACTTGTGAGAGACCATGTGTGTCTGAGCATGTATGTTTGTGAGGTGTGTTAGGGTCTACATAGGGGACTTTGATGATGGTTATAACATAACACCCAAGAATCTCTCTGGAGAATTCATTACACAGGTGTAATTAAATCTTACAGCAATGGTGACTCCATGGAGTTTCCATTCCCACAAGGACAACACAGGCTTGGTTTGGCTCTGCAGCAGCCATTTGCTACACAGGTGTCCTTTAGTGAGGGATTCCCTTTTCTGCAATCTTCATTAGCATTCATTCCTTCTTCCTGCCAACTCATTTCCACTTCTCACAGTCCACACTTCTTAGCCCACGTTATGATGTTCAAACAAGCAAACACATGACAGAGACTCCTTATGGACAGTTTCTCCATTTTTCTGAATTTTCAGAATCCAAGCACATCATTTCATAACTGTGTTTGATAACTGGCACAGCAATAGAGGACATGACCTTCCCAAGGCAAAGGTCACAAACTTTTTTTCTGTAAAGCACAGAACTAGGTAGTCAGCAAAACCATTTCATTAATGATTCTTCTGGGTAAATCATTGGCAGTGAGTATAACTTCACCTATGAATATGGAATTGCAGGTCTCCATTTGGTGGGGTTATTACCTGTACCTACCCTGCTGCTGCTCTGGAGTTTAGCTGATTGGATTGCTGTTGGATCGGCTTCTCCCATGGCTGTTGCAGGTTCTCCAGCCTCCGTTCCTCTCTGTATGTGTCTGCTGCTTGCCTCTGGCTTAGGCCAGGCAGGCAGTATGTTGGTATTGCCTGTGAGTGGGAGCCACTGGTTTACCTTGGAATTTGTTTTGTCTAAACTGGAGCTCAGAGGCCAAGAGTTAGTGGTGATGATGTCAGCAATGCTGAAGATCCCTAATTGTGGTGGTTTGATAGAAAATGGCCCCAAATTGAGTGGCCTTGTTGGAGGAAGTACGTCTCCTAAGCTTGAACCAAGCCTAGTGTCTTAATCACAACCTCTTTCCTTCTGATCAAGATGTAGCACCCTCCGGTCCTTCTTCAGCACCTTGTGTGCCTGCAGACTGCTATGTCTCACTGTGATGATAATGGATTTAGCCTCTGAAACAGTAAGCCACCTCCATTAAATGTTTTCCTTTATAAGAGATGCTGAGGTCATGGTTTCTCTTCAAAGCAGTAGAAACCTTAACTAAGAGACTGAATTATATGTGGGACACTTAACTCCTCATGCTCTGGACAGTTTTGACATTTTGCTCAACTATTTTTCCTTCACTCAATGGAAAACTCAGGAGTCAGTATCTTTTCTCTACAGTGGCTTCAGTCAAGGCTGATGACATCATCTTTTCACTGTGTAGGAGTCTGTTTAGCAAAAAAAAAAAAAAAAAAAAAAAAAAAAAAAAAAAAAAAAAGCCATTAATCGCTTATCCACAGCAAAACTTTCCTTCCTTTCTTCCTTCTTTCCTTCATTCTTTCCTTCTTTCCTTCTTTCCTTCCTTCTTCCCTTCCTTCCTTCTTCCCTTCCTTCCTTCCTTCCTTCCTTCCTTCCTTCCTACTTTCCTTCCTTCCTTCCTTCCTTCTTTCCTTCCTTCTTTTGAGGCTTTTGTGGAACCTTTTCTGCTCGTAATTTAGGTGTTGCCAAACACCTTTCACTTCCACCTGTGTTGGTCAGCAGACTAATGTTTTGCTCTAATGTTGAAGGAAGTACTCAAGCTCTAGTCCCTTCCCCATGTTCCCAAACTTCTCTCCTGCTTCCCAGATGCCATGGCTTTCAAAGAAAGAGTAGGGAATTATTTTCCTTTTTTGGATGAACAGTTGTTTTCTCATGGAAATCACCTCTGAATTCTCCAACTCCCTGTGACAGTGGTCTCTCCAGTGAAGCTTCCATTTGGCCTTGGGCACTGACCCTATTTTTGACCATCCCAGGTATGTGATATTCACCATGGTCTTCCATGGTGTGATCAACTGTCACCCAAGATAGTCACTTTCTCAACTATGTTATCTGACCCTTAGCATGGGAAGGGTGGCCTGATTTTGCATACTAGAGGGGAAATGATTCCTTTTTCTTATTGACATCATAGGCCTGGAAAAGTCACCCAATTTGTTGCTGTGCTGTGAAAATGGTGGATGCATACAGGGAGAGGCACATTTGCAGTGAATGTATTTATTTATTTATTTATTTATTTATTTATTTATTTGAAACAGGGTTTCTCTGTGTAGCTTTGAAGACTTGGCAGGCCTCGAACTCACAGAGATATGCCTGCCTCTGCCTCACAGGTGCTGGGATTAAAGGTGTGTGTCACCACTGACTGGCTGCAGTGAGTGTTCTGCTTGCTTTTTGGACTATGTTCAGGTCTGCAAACCTTGCAGAAATGTCAGGCATATTTCTACACAGGAGAAGACTAGAAATTATACCTTTAAAACACAACAGAAATTAGCTTCAAATCTTGCATGAAAATATAGAACATTTAATACCACAAAACTATTACCAATTCTAGTAAATCTTTATAAACTAGCTCTTAGGTATCTGCATGGAGGTTTACTGTCTGGTACCTGCAGGTGGGGTTGAACACTGTTCCTATTCTCTATGTGCTGAGCAGACTCTGAGCATTGCAATTTATGCCCAAGCAAATGGTTTGAGTGACTACTATTCCAGAAGCAATATGTGGTTAGGGGCTTTTTTTTTTTTTTTTTTGGAAGACAACATAGTACCTTATTACAAACTCAAGCCTACTCCTTTTTTTATTTTATTTTTATTTTTGAGAGTCTTGTTTTGTATTTTTTTAAAATTTAAACTAGAAACAAGCTTGTTATACATGTCAATTGAAATTCCCTCTCCCTCCCCTCCTCCCCTGCCCCCCACCAACCTCCTATCCCATCCCTTTCTGCTCCTCAGGGAGGACCTTCCATAGAGCATCTTCAAAGTCTGTCATGTCATTTGGAGCAGGGCCTAGACCCTCCCCCGTGTGTCTAGGCTGAGAGAGTATCCCTCTATGTGGAATGGGCTCCCAAAGTCCATTTCTATTCTAGGGATAAATACTGATCCATTACCAGAGGCCCCAAAGATTGTTCAGGCCTCCTAACTGACACCCATGTTCAAGGGGTCTGGGTCAGTCCTATGCTGGTTTCTCAGCTATCAGTCTGGAGTCCATGAGCTCCCCCTTGTTCAGGTCAGCTGTTTCTGTGGATCTCTCCAGCCTGGTCTTGACACATTTTCTCATCACTCCTCCGTCTCTGCAACTAGATTCCAGGAGTTCAGCTGAGTGTTTGGCTATGGGTGTCTGCTTCTGCTTCCATCAGCTATTGGATGAAGGCTCTAGGTAGTCATCAGTCTCATTATCAGATAAGGGCATTTAAGGCAGCCTCTCAACTATTGCTTAGATTGTTAGTTGGGGTTATCTTGTAGATCTTTGGACATTTCTCTAGTGCCAGATTTCTCTTTAAATCTATAGTGGTTCCCTCTATTATGGTACCTCTTTTCTTTTTTTATTAGAAAGAAAATTATTTTACATGTCAATCTCAGGTCCCTTTCCCTCCCTTCCTCCCCTGCCCCCCCAACTAATACCCTAAATATCCTATACCCTTTCTGCTCCCAAGTAAGGGCGAGGCCTTCAATGGGGGGGGGGGTCTTCAAAATCTGTTGTATACTTTGGGATAGGGCCTAGCCTTTTTTTTTTCCCCCAAACTCACTGGATATGCTGTCATTGTGCCCTGACTCAGTATTCAACGCCAGGACTAAGTCCAACATCAGGCCCTCCTGGAACTGTGGTGAAAGTTTGAATCCTAAATTCTGATTTGCTTGTTCCTAGGAAAGCAAAGCCCCTGGCCATTCTGCCAGAGGTAACTTAGTCTGAACACCATTATTGGAGGCAACAAGCTTACAGAGGCTCAGCTCTTCATCTCCTGTTTTCTCCCAGATGTCTGTCTGAAAGCCAGGCTCAGAAGAAAGGCATCCTGTCTTAGACATGGTGCTAGAAATAATAGCAATTTCTCTAACACAGTGAATGTATCCATTTTGAAAGGGACAGTGGCTGTGTTATTGATTAACTGGAGTCCTACAGCAGGGCAGTCTCAAGGCTCAGTGCCTGTCAGTCAAGACTCCTTCACTCTCAGACCCATGGAATCACAGCAATATACAGTAGATTTGATCCTGGCCTGTGCTGTGTACCATAATGTACCCTTTGGTTCTCAGCTTTTCTGTGACCTCTAGCATTCTCTGTCTACCTCTTCTTGGTGACTCTCATGGTCCATGCTTCTTAGTTTCCTGCCTTACAAAGAATAAATGAGCTTGTGGTGGATATAGAGATTTCTTATAGGCAGTCTCTTAATATTTCTGAATGTCAAAATCCAAACACATTGTTTCATAACTCTGTCAAAAGTGGGTCTGCAATACAGGGCATGATTTCCCCAAGATCATTGTGTGTGTGTGTGTGTGTGTGTGTGTGTTTTATCTGCAAGGCACAAAGTAGCTATTTCAGCCAATGTAGTTCATTAATTATTACTCTTTTGAGTAAATTATTAGCCCCAAATTAAACTTCATTTGTAAACATACAAATACACATGTCCACTGAACGAGGCCTTGTGTCTACTAAAAGCTCTATTAGAGGAGCTCAGCTCTATTAGAAAAGCTCAGAGTCTCAAGCAGCTGGATTCCCCTGGGCTCTGCTTCTCCCATGGCTCCTGCAGGTTCTCCAGTCTCCTTTCCTCTGTGTGTGTATCTGCTGCTGGCCTCTGGCTTTTCCCAGGCAGGCAGGCTGCTGGTGGTCCCCATGGATGGGAGTCACTGGTTCACCATGCAGATGGTTGTGGAGAAACTCATTCACAAAGGACATGAAGTGGTGGTAGTGGTGCCAGAGGTGAGTTGGCAGCTGGGAAAATCCCTGAATTTGACAGTGAAGACATACTCAACTTCTCACACTCTGGAGGATCTGAACCATATACTCAAGGCTGCTTCTGCTGCTCAATGGATAAATCCAGAACATAGTACGCTTTCTTTAATCAGAGGTTTTGGGAAAGTTTTTTTTGATTTCATAGCTTCACACTGTAGGAGTCTGTTTAATGATAAGAAGTTAGTGGAGTACTTGAAGCAGAGTTCTTTTGATGCTGTGTTTCTGGATCCCTTCGAACTGTGTGGCTTGACTGTGGCCAAGTATTTGTCACTCCCTTCAGTGTTTTTTTCAAGATATTTCCTTTGCCACTATGTTGAAGAGGGGGCCCAGTGTCCCGGGCCACTCTCTTATGTCCCTAGACTTTTCTCAAAATTCACAGACACCATGACTTTCATGGAGAGGGTGTCCAACCTTGTTTATTATATGGAAGAACGTGTATTTTGCCACTACATCTTCAAAACTGCTGTAGAAATTGCCTCTGAAGTTCTCCAGACCCCAGTGACTATGGATGACCTCTTCTATCAAGTGTCCATTTGGTTGTTTCGCACAGACTTTGTATTAGATTTCCCCAAACCTGTGATGCCAAACATGGTGTTCATTGGTGGGATCAACTGCCAACAAAGAAAGCCACTCTCCAAGGTATGTTGTCTCTTCTTTAGCACATGAAGTGAGTCCTGGGTACAGACAATAAGAAAGAAATTCTTTTTTTGTTTTGTTTTTAATTATTAAATTTATATTTTTAAATTTATATTTTTAGCAATTCTATTTATTTTAGAAGTACTCTCATTTCCATATCTATCCTCCCGTTCCATTGCCCTCCCATCCTCCTGTGCTTCCCACCGACCCCCTCAACGCACCCCCCACCGGCTCACCAGGGATATTGAGGCCCTTCATGAGGGATCATCAACGTCTGTCACATCATTTGGAGGAGGGCTCAGGTCCTCCTTGCTGTATCTGGGCTGCAATAGTTTTCCTCCATAGGGAATGGGCTCCCAAAGTCCATTTGTGCCCTAGGGATAAACACTGGCTCCACTATTAGAGGTTCCGTAGACTGCCTTGGGCTCCTAGCTGGCACCCACATTCAGAAGGCCTGGTTTGGTCCAATTCTGGTTCCCCAGCTTTATGACTAGGGTCTCCATGCTCTCAGTAGGTCTGGTCAACTGTATCTGGGGGTTTTTCCAGCACAGTCTTTGCTCCTTTGCTCATCCCTCCTCCCTCTCGGCAACCAGATTCCAGGAGTATGGCTCAGTGTTTAGTTGTGGTTGCCTATTTCTGCCTGGATCAGCTTCTACTGGATGAAGGCTCTAGGAATGGTAATCAAGGTAGTCATCAATCTCATTATAGGGGAAGGACATCAAAAGCAGCCTCTCCACCACTGCCTAGATTCTTAGTTGGGGTCATCCCTGTGGATCCCCTAACATTTCCCCTGTGCCAGACCTCTCTCCAAACCTGTAGTGTCTCCCGCCAGCCTCCACTGTCTAGATTCTTAGTTGGGGTCATCCCTGTGGATCCCTTAACATTTCCCCTGTGCCAGACCTCTCTCCAAACCTGTAGTGTCTCCCTCTATTAAGGTATCTCCTTTCTTGCCCTCCTCTATTCCTCCCATTTCCTGTTCTCCTCCTCCCTCCCCTTCTCCCCTTCTCCCCTTCCCACCTCCCCTGCATGCTCCCAATTTGCTCAGGGGTTCTTGTCCCCCTCCCCTTCTTCAGGGGATGCTGTGTTCTTCTCTTGGGATCTTCCTTGTTTCCTAGCTCTACTGGCTGTGTGAATTTGTAGGCTGGTAATCCTTTGCTCTATGTCTAAAATACACATATGAGTGAGTACATACCATGTTTGTCTTTTTGTGACTGGGTTACCTCACTCAGGATGGTTTCTTCTAGTTCCATCCATTTGTCTGATAATTTCAAGATTCCATTGTTTTAAGAAAGAAATTCTTACTGAGATATAATGTATTTTTTGTGTTATTGCTACATATAGAATTTCTTCCTGGGATAAAGAATTGTTTTGTGCCAATACACAAATTAGGAAAAATATTCTATATAGGTGCCCTGTTGATATCAATGTATACACATGTGGCTTAATTTCATATACAAGCAAAGTATAATCTAATTTAAAATATGTATGCATGCATTCCTATTTTTGTGTGTTAGGATCATGAAATTAAAAAGCAGAGGAAACAAAGAACTTTCCTGAGGAGAATCAAAGTCAGCAATGATAGACATGTCATATGAAAACAGAAAGGCAGAATATTCTGAGGTAGGGAGAACATATGGAGTGTAAGGCTGGCTAGAGAGAGAGTAGAATCAACAGGAAAAAGGAAAACATGTCTGAACATGTTGTAATTCCAACAAGTTCTTTGTATGCTGACTCAGAAAAAGAAATTTAAAGAGACGAAAATAAAATTTGAAGCTACATGTTAATGTTTGTGGAGAAGTTTAAAAAGCACATCAGGTCATGAAGTAGCCTTCATTATTTGTCGGCTGCACTCTATGGGAGTATACATGCAGTTTTCACAAATTTCAAAAATTATTGATGTGATATATGGGATGCAAGGTAGGCACATTTGTTTTTTAAAGAAAATAAAATATACAAGATAAAACAAAAACCATCCTATCAAACTTGAACAAAAGAGCCCACAGAAAATAAGTCCCAAGAGAAGACACAAGAATGAGAGAGTAACTAGTTAATGCATTCAGGAGTCCCATAAGAGTACTGCATTGACAGCTATGGTCTGTACTCAGAGGACCTGAGCAGATCCGTGTAGGCCCTGTGAATGCTGCCGCAGTCTCCACAGTTCATAAGAGCTTTGCTGGCTTGCTTTAGACAGCCTTGTTCTCTGGGTGTCCGCCATCACTCTTTCTCCCCAAATCCTTCTGCCTCTTTTCCATGGGGATCCCTGAGCTCTGAGGGGAGGGATTGGATGGAGACATCTCATATAGAACTGTGTGTTCTGAGGTCTCTCTATGTAATGTCTTGCTGTGGGTCTCTGTGTTTGCTCCCATCTGACGCATGAGGGAGCATCTCTGATGCTGTCTGACTAAGGCTCTAATCCATGAGTATAGCAGAATATTATGAGTCATTTAATTGTTACTGTTTTTTTTTTCTTAAGAACAGGAGTATTTGATTCTACCCTAGGTGTCTGATCTTATAGACTCTGGATATTGATCACCTAAGCAGTATCAGACATGGGTTCCATTTCATGGAATGGGCCTCAATTCAAATCAGACAACAGTTTCTTATTCTTACAAGGTTTGTTTCTCCATTGTCCTAGCACATTTTGTAGACAAGACAGATTATAGGACAAAGGTTTTGTGATTGGGTTGGTGTTTCCTTTGCTCTTTTGGTATCCTGGAAAGAACAATTCCATGTCACAGACACTAGAACATGGAAGTGAAGATTCTATGTAGGCAACATTTGACTACTTTGTGTTCATGAGTTGTGTGGGTGTTGTCTTCAGCAATGGAGTCTTGTTGTCAGTTTGTGGAGAGCAACCTATTATCTCGACAAGGGCCTGGGATGTTTGGGAATTTCCATGAGACCCCTGTGACCAAGAACTGAATTGGATGAAAACCATTCCTCAAAAGGAAGATTAGTTTGCTTACAAGACATGGCCAGTAGGGGTTCCCTGTCCTCATTATTTGGAGGCTTCATTAGGACTGCCTTCATATGTTATAGGAAGTTTCCACTGCACTGCACTAGCTTTCCATATTGCCCCTCAAATATCCTTCAGTTCTAGCTGTCTCTCCTCTCATTGCCTCCCCGAATCAATTTGCCCTTTGTCTTCCCATGTGATACTTCTGCTCTTGTTCACTTCCCCGCTCAAGCCTAGTCATAAAATATATACAATTTCCCCCTTCCAGTTAGATCCATGTGACTTCCACCCCACTGTCTTCCTCTATGCCTAAGCTCTCTGTGTCTATGAATTGCAACATGGTTATCATTTCTATAATGGCCAGCATCCAAATATAAGTCAACACATATCATATTTAATCTGTGATCTAGGTACCTCACAGAGGATGATTTTTTCTAGTTCCATACATTTGCCTACAAATGTCATGATGTCATATTTTGAAAGAGCTGAATATTGCTCCATCATGTAAATGTATGACATTGTCTTTATCCAGTCTTCTGTTTGGGGACATCTACTTCATTTTTTTCTGATTTCTGGTCAGTATATCAGCAAAGAATATCACTGAACAAGTATACTTACAGTAGTATGAGGGATCCACTTTGTATATGCATAAGAGTGGTAGAGCTTATCTTGAAGTAGATCTATTGCCATATTTCTGATGATCCACCACACTGATTTCTATAATATCTGTAGAAGATTGCACTTTCTCAGCAGCCTGTGAGTGTTCCGTTACTCCAGATGCTCTCCTGCATGAGCTGTCACTTGTGTTATTGATCTTATCCACTCTGACAGGTGTAAGATGGAATCTCAAAATATGCTTGATGTACATATTTCATTTGTCTAAGCATGATGAACATTTCTTTAAGTGTTTTTGACTCCTTTGAGTTTCCTCTATTGATAATTCTCTATTGAGGTATGTACCCCACATTTTACTTGAATTATTTGGTGTTTTGCTATCTACTTTTTTGAGTTCTTTTTATATTTTGGCTATTAGTCTGCTGTTGGATGGGGAGTTGTTAAAATCTTTTTCCATTCTGTAGGTTGCCACTTTGTCTAAATGCTGATATCCTTTGCCTTACAGCAGCTTTTCAGTTTCCCTTTTATAACGTTTGATCTTAGTGTCTGCACTCTTAGTGTTCTGTTCAGGAAGTCTGCTCCTGAGCCAATGTGATCAAGGGTATATCCCACTTTCTCTTCTGTTGGAGTCAATGTATCTGATTTTATGCAGATGTCTTTGATTCCTTTGGAGTTGAGCTTTGTGCAGGGTTATAGGTAGGAATCTGTTTGCATTCTTCTATACGCAGTCATCCAGTTTGACTAGCACCGTTTGCTGAAGATGCTTTTCTGGCTCCTTTATCAAATCCTGGTACCCATAGGTGTGTGGGTTTATGCCCAGATCTTCAATTTGATTTCATTGATCAATGTGTCTCTTTTAATATGAATTCCATGCTGTTTTTATTACTACAGTTTTGAAGTACAACTTGAGTTGATGGATGATGAGATCTTCTGTAGTTCTGTTATTGTTCAGGATTGTTTTAGCTATCTTGGTTTTTTTCTCCATATGAAGTTGAAAATTGTTTTTTCAAGGTCTGTGAAGAATTTTGCTGTAATTTCGCTGGGGATTGCATTGGGTCTGTAGCCTGCTTCCAGTGTGATGGCCGTTTTCACTACGCTAACCTTATAGATGCAGGAGCATGGGGCATCTTTCCATCTTCTGATATCTTCATAAGTTTCTTTCTTCAAATGCTTAAAGTTTTTTTTTTATCATACCAGTCTTTCACTTACTATGTTATAGTTACCCCCAAGACATTTTATATTGTTTGATGCTATTGTGAAAGGTATTGTTTCCCTGATTTCTTTCTCAATTTGTCTGTAATTTATATATAGGAGGGCTACTGATTGTCTGAGTTAATTGTTCATCCAGCCATTTGGCTGAATATGTTTCTGAGCTGTTGTTATTCCTTGGTAGAATTTTTAGAGTCACTCATGTACACTACCACAGCTTTTGCAAATTAAGATATTTTGACTTCTTCCTTTCTAATTTGTATCCCCTTGATCTCCTTCTGCTTCCTTATTCCTTTAGCGAAGACTCCAAATACTATATGAATACCTGTTGAAAGAGTGGGCGATCTGTAAGTCATAAAGACACAGGATCTTCTTTTCATTGCATTTCTGTTGCCATTAAGCTAGAGACATGGTCACAAAAGAAAAAAACTTAACATATTTGCCACCTTCTTTATTGATCACATTACACTATTTTCATTGATTGTCCTCAATTTTCAGTGATCATTAAGTGGTATTACTAGCTTTTTGTGAACTAGACTGTGCTTACTTTTCTTCCATACTTTGTTTTCACAGATTTGTTTCTATTTTATTTTCTGTATTCTCACCAGCAGGATGTTGAGTTGTTAGGTCATACACCTAGGCATGTGTCACACTCATTCATACACCACATACTTATACACACACATTCATACACACACACACACACACACACACACACACACACACACACACACCACCCTCGGTTTCACACACGACACACTACTAATTCACATACACCATGCTCAGCTACACAAAAACATATGTGGGCAAGCAGGACTGTTGATAAAGAGCTTGTACACAGCACAACCACAAATCTAAAACAAAAAACAACCCTATGTCTATGTATTTGTCTATCCTACTATTTCATACAACAGGCATGTTTCTCACACAGTGATCATGCTGATGGGGCACCTAGGTCATGGGTGGAGTTAAACCTGTGTGTGGAGAAGAAAAAACTGGTAAGCGACTGTGTGTCTGGGCATGTATGTGTGTGAGGTGTGTGAGGGTCTGCCTACGGGACTTTGATGGTGGTTATAATACAACACCCTGAGTATCTCTGGAGATTTCATTGCACAGGTATAATTAAATCTTACAGCAGTGGTGATGGAGTTTCCATACCCACAGGACAACTCAAGCTTAGTTTGGCTCTGTTTCTTCAGGCCTAACTTGTGAGTGAACCACACTAATCTTTCCTAAAGAGAAAAAAAATGACACCTCATCCAATTCCAGGAAAATGCTGGGCTGGTAATGCTTGACTAGGAAACAAAGGTGACTTGGATCGTTCACCCGTGATAAATGACTCGGCAACTTGCCCTGGGCAGGTAGGTGTCCAGCTCTGTGATCCTCAAATAAGCTAATCGGGTCCCTTTAATAAGACAAACAACAGCTGAACTCTGAAAAATTAAAAAGGGGACAAGGGGGCTGAGATTTGACTCAGTATTAGGTGCACTCGCTGCTCTTCCAGAGAATCTTGGTGCAATTCCCAGCAGCTACATGGCAACTCACACCTGACTGTAACTCCTCTCCAGGGCTTCTGACACCCTCACACAGACATACATTCAGGCAAACACCAATGAGCATAAAATTAAAACAAATTTAGAAGAGAAATCTGTATCTCCAGACACCTGTACTGAGAGAGTGCCACCTCTTTAGATCCTATCATAGAAACTAAGCAACAGCTATAATCCTGAAAGGAGTTGGCCAATAACTCAATCCAGGTACAGGACCTCCCTCCTTCCCAGATTCCAGAATTTAGGAGTTAGTTCCGCTTGGCTAGGGAAGTCAAACCGTGGTTCCCCTCAAGTGGAAAGGTTGTGTGACAGCTCCACCATGATAGTTTTGGAAAAGGAGCCAAGCTTGACTTACTTGGGCAATCAGACAAACACTCAGTTTAGGCAGAAACTCACCATACAGCTCTGCCCCAGAAGAGATTTGATCAACTGTGCATGGGTAGTGTCTGGTACTGTTCGGGTTTGGTGCTGTGGAAGCTAGGTCTGAACATGCTGCTCTAACCTTAGAGACTAGTCTGCAGATTTGCTAGTACCAAATACAATATGAGAGTGGTTGCGCTTTTCAGGGATTGGAAGTCTGTCCTGGTTAGTGAGGCATGATGGAAGGGTCCCAGTGCCGGTTCTAGGCCGTGTTCCGGTTCGCTGAGCCGCTGTTCTCGCAGGGTCCTGGCTTGCTGGGGGCGCGGCTGCCAGAGAGTGCCAGAGATTTTGGCAAGTTTCCTGCCAATGGCTGCAAAAACCTGTAGGGATTTTAATACTCTCTCAGCTCTCGGGGTATAGGGTGGAGTTTTACTCACTGTGTTCCCCGGCGGCTTAATGTGTAGGCGTGTAGAATCTCTGTACCACGCAGGGATTCGGAGCGCAGCAAAATGTTCCCGGGCAGAGGTGCGCGCCTGGTGGGTTTTGGCTTTTCCTGGCCAGGGCTCCTTAAGAAGTCCAGTGGGGCTTGCCATGAAGGCGAACGGGTCGTGGGCTTTCATCACCTCACTCCTGGTACCAGTTAAAGTGGTGAATAACTGATGCGAAATCCGTAAGGTTAGGATAACTTTTAATAGATAAATGCCAATCAACAGCAAGCCAGAGCGTGCCAAAGCAGCAAGGCGAGACCACCCCATGTGCCTTGTCTGTCGCTTAGAAACCTCTCCCACGTCACCCTGATATCACCTTGACCACACCCTGACAGGCATAGTCTGGCACACCTGTAGCCAGTCCTTAGGAGGCGAGGTTATGTTGTCTCTCTACCTCCTCCTCCTCCTCTTCCTCCTCCTCCTCCTCTTCCTCCTCCTCCTCTTCCTCCTCCTCTTCCTCCTCCTTCTATTTCCCTTCCCTTCCCTTCCCCTTCCTTTCCTCTTCTTCCCTCCCTCCCTCCCTCCCTCTCTCTCTCTCTCTCTCTCTCTCTCTCTCTCTCTTTCTTTCTTTCTTTCTTTCTTTCTTTCTTTCTTTCTTTCTTTCATGCCCTGACTCAATATTCAACGCCAGGACTAAGTCCAACTTCAGCCCCTTCTGGAACTGTGGTGAAAGTTTGAATCCGAAATTCTGATTTGTTTGTTCCTAGGAAAGCAGAGCCCCTGGTCATTGTGCCAGAGGTAACTTAGTCTGAACACCATTATTGGAGGCAACAAGCTTACAGAGGCTCAGCTCTTCGTCTCCTGTCTTCTCCCAGATGTCTGTCTGAAAGCCAGGCTCAGAAGAAAGGCATCCTGTCTTAGACATGGTGCTAGAAATAATAGCAATTTCTCTAACACAGTGAATGTATCCATTTTGAAAGGGACAGTGGCTGTGTTATTGTTTAACTGAAGTCCTACAGCAGGGCAGTCTCAAGGCTCAGTGCCTGTCAGTCAAGACTCCTTCACTCTCAGACCCATGGAATCACAGCAATATACAGTAGATTTGATCCTGGCCTGTGCTGTGTACCATAATGTACCCTTTGGGGACAAGCTTTTCTGTGACCTCTAGCATTCTCTGTCTACCTCTTCTTGGTGACTCTCATGGTCCATGCTTCTTAGTTTCCTGCCTTACAAAGAATAAATGAGCTTGTGGTGGATATAGAGATTTCTTATAGGCAGTCTCTTAATATTTCTGAATGTCAAAATCCAAACACATTGTTTCATAACTCTGTCAAAAGTGGGTCTGCAATACAGGGCATGATTTCCCCAAGATCATTGTGTGTGTGTGTGTGTGTGTGTGTGTGTTTTATCTGCAAGGCACAAAGTAGCTATTTCAGCCAATGTAGTTCATTAATTATTACTCTTTTGAGTAAATTATTAGCCCCAAATTAAACTTCATTTGTAAACATACAAATACACATGTCCACTGAACGAGGCCTTGTGTCTACTAAAAGCTCTATTAGAGGAGCTCAGCTCTATTAGAAAAGCTCAGAGTCTCAAGCAGCTGGATTCCCCTGGGCTCTGCTTCTCCCATGGCTCCTGCAGGTTCTCCAGTCTCCTTTCCTCTGTGTGTGTATCTGCTGCTGGCCTCTGGCTTTTCCCAGGCAGGCAGGCTGCTGGTGGTCCCCATGGATGGGAGTCACTGGTTCACCATGCAGATGGTTGTGGAGAAACTCATTCACAAAGGACATGAAGTGGTGGTAGTGGTGCCAGAGG